CATTTTGAATATTCAGTGTTGAGAAATTAATATTATACAGTTTTTTTCTTTATCCACATAATTTACGGTATTTAAAGCTGCAGTAAGTAGGAAATTTACTTCAAAATTAACCGAAATCTTCCTCGTTTGTCTCCCTGGATGAAGGGAGAATTTCCTATAATCAGTCGGAATTCTCTGTCTGGTTTGTTAAAAGTGTCGATACTTTGGAAATAATCGATACTGAAACACGGTACACAGATTAAATACAAATTATCCACACTACTGATGCTAAAGATAAGAGGTGTTTGCATATTTTGGATATTAGCTCAAATAATAACACATCAGTCAACCTTAAAATTTGATATTTATGTTGTTTTTTAAAATATTTTGCAGTTATTTGCAGACTTTTAACTAGTTTCACTTATGTGGTTCAGAAAGCATTCCTGATTATGTTTTATTTTTTTTCTAATGTTTTTATTCTGCATTACTCTATATGTCTGTGGCCGTATTACTTGGTTTGATGAAAAAGTTGCCATTTTGACTTTTAAGTTTGATTTTTTAAGTATCAAAAATAGTAAAAAATATTTTCATAAGAATTTTTGCTGTTAGAAATAAACGCTTTCTGATTATTCTCATTTTTAAATAAATATTTTTACGATTCTGTGCTTTTATTCTGTTAATCTGTAATTAACTTTCGATGCCCCCAGTCGATCGGCCGCTGCAGATCCTGAAGGAGTGTGGGCCGTCCGCGGTTTCCGTGGAGCTTACCTGTCTGACATCAGAAGGAGGCGGAGACAATAACCTCCTGCTCGGCTTCATCCACATGATTGACAGGATGCTGGCTAGTGGGCGGGACTTCGACCTGGCGCACGCTTACCTGGCTCTTTTCTTGAAGGTGAGCTAATTGCAACGCAGCTTTAGACTTTTATTGTGAAAGTGTCCCAGCTTCCTGTTTACCATTATCTGTTTGTTTCATCAGCTTCATCTACGCACGTTGTCGCAGGATGCCGTTGCCATGGAAGCGCTGATTCATCTCTCCTCCAGACTGGAGTCTGGGTGGGCGGAGCTTCAAGGATCGTTTAACCAATCATTGTGTCTGCTGTCGTACACAAAGAGTGCGCTGCTGTGAAGTGCACAGCGTTTGTTTTTGATTAAAGTTTTTCCTGTTTTTGTATCTGACTGAGTGGAATTAATGAAGAAAAAAACCTGGGATTGAATCAGGTTGGTTGATCACTTGATCTGATCCAATCAAACATGGAGGAAATTCCCACAGAACAAACAGCCTTACTGTTTCTGTTCATAGGAGGCGCTCCACTCCGTGTTCTGCTCCAGTTTTTATGTTAAACCCAACATCAAGAATATTTATACAGAATGAAAAAAATCCATGGATGGATTAAAGATGCAGCCTCAATTTTTTAATGAGCATCTGGAATATTTTCCATGTTTTATATCAGCTGTTTGCTTCATATGAGGCTGTATGGATTAGAAATGTTCCAAATAAGATTCAAAGATGAAAATAAAGGTTCTGTCTAGGGATGCAGGATATAATCGGCCCCCTATCGGTATCGGCCTTAAAACTGA